CTATAACCCCGAGCACTTTTGAAAGGTCTACCTTTTGAAAGTGTTCAGGTTATAGGGTTTTTATTTATTTCTAATGAGAAATCATTCATGATGTTAGAAAAACACGTAGGTTCAAGAAGTCTTGATAGAAATAAATAAAAACCCTATAACCTGAACACTTTCAAAAGGTAGACCTTTCAAAAGTGCTCGGGGTTATAGGGTTTTTATTTATTTCTATCAAGACTTCTTGAACCTACGTGTTTTTCTAACATCATGAATGATTTCTCATTAATATTTTTGATTAATTCAAGGCTGTTCAATTTAATCAATTAATGCCATACATACACAAATAATTAACCAAAATCAGTGTTTCCAATTGTTACCATTTTTAAGTACTTCACCTATCCAAGTCTCATGTGACAATAATCAATTATGTGACTGATGTTGGTTAATTAGCCCAATGATTAATTGATTAGGAAATTTTACTAATTGCCCAGCTCTATAGAGCACACAAAGATACATATATCTCCACCTTAAATTATAAACAGGGATATTCTACTTCAACCTTAAGTTTAAAATTTAAGAATGGCTTTAACACTGGTAGCAAATAACCTGGAGAAATATGAACTGCTTTTAACCGTTTCCTTTTCAGGTAAATCAATATAACTGGCTAATATGTGTGTAAGCTGTTTTGGCTAACGTACAATAACAAGTGTAATCAAAATAATACTTGAAGTTACTTAAAATAATATTTTACTATTAAAAATATCACAAATATGTTTTAAGTTAGTTGATCTATAGTCTCACACCAACATACATTATATGTAACAAATTCCAGAAATTACAACTTAGAAACAATACTAACAATAACAACATGATGACTGACAAAACTAAACCCATAAGTTTGGGCATTTGTTAAGTAAGCTTTTTTCCTGGCAATCAATGAAAATTTTGGCTTGAAATCTGCCTATGGCTTAGAAACTTTATTTAATAATATATAAAATCATATGTGAAAAAAGGGAGTTGACCAGGAAATTTATATATGAGCTTGTACTTCTGGAAAAATGGTCTATAATAAAGAAAATTAACCAAATTATCTGTTGTAAATGGTTAATTTAACCATAATACATGAAATATTTAAACATTTTCTATGAAAACCAATTAATAACAAACCTTAGCAAGAAGCCAAATAAACAACATGGTAATTTTGTTTCTTTTAGACAAACGATTTTACAATTAAAATGAATTTTAAAAATATATCTCTATCTTTTGAAATAGCTTTCTTCTGCATTTGTTTCAATTACTCAAAGACATCACTATTGATCATTCTGTAATGTCACATTCATACTGTTCTATCTAACAGATCTCTCAAGTGTTCAGAATAACAAGTGGTGAACATGAAATAATGAGGTTGGTTATTGTCTACAGAGCCTTCACAAAAAGAGAATTAGCCATAGATGCAAGGAAAATAGCAACATGATAGAATGTGATGTGAAAATCTTTCCAACTCATATTTAATTTGTGAAAAAAACCTTCAAAAACATTGCTCAATAGATCACCCTAGAGAACAGAAAACTGTCTAATCTGGAAATATAATAATAATCACACAGAGATCAGGGGCAGAACAACCCAGAAATGTAAATCACCCTAAACACCACAGATCAAATAACAACAAATTGTCTAATCTGGAAATAATCAGAGATCAGGGGCATAACAAATCAGAAATGTGAAGGGTGAAAAACGATAATGGATGAAACCATCCAATTATTCACCAACTAAGCCTCAGTTTGGGAAATGAAAGAAATGCCTGAGTAAAGATTGTAACTTTTTCCTGAAAAAAAAATAATTAAAAAGAAACAACTGTATACAAGCTAGAACAAGGTTTACCTCATGCCAGTAACAAATAAAAGTTGAAGGGAAAATATATATAGGAAGAAAATGCAGTGCCTGCAAAGAAAAACAAATGAAACAAAAGAAGGTACAAATAATAATGGTCTTCTAGATAAGAAGGGTAATGGAACAGAGAAGATGTCTCCAACTTGACCTCTCAACAAAGAAACTGCAGCAGACACGCATGCAATGATGTAGGTTTGATGAATAGATATAGCCTTGGTGTTATCCAACAAACTTTCTAAATTATACAGGGAACATCCAGCTTAAAAGCTACATAAAATGTCACAGAAATTACAAGTCCACAACATTAATAGAATTGTAACACACCAATTAAAACCTCACTGGTCTCAAAGCAAGTAAAGAAGTTTTCAGACATAGATTCCAAACACTGGATCTCTCCGAAAAGAGCAATACACAGTTTCTATAATAAAGATTATGAATATGATATAACAAAACTACCAACATTTTTATATCCTATGAACAAAAAATAACATGGATGATTGGTATTAAACTTAAAAGAGCAAGTCTGTCTACAAAGGTGTATCAGGCAGAAAAGGGTTTTGAAAATGAACAGGGTTAAAGATAGAAGAGAATAACCAAGATGAAGATTGTCTAAAACTTACAGTAAGAAGAATATACAAATTCTTTGGACACTATGAACATGAAATTTAATTGCCTGTGGATAAAACAAAATGCAGGAGCAATTCCTGCCAAAATCTATCAATGCAAAGAACCCTACAAGAGGAAGGACAAATACCCAATGATAAGCAAAGCCTCTGCTAGCACAGAAATCTGGAAAAAAAAAAGGAGAAAATCAGACAACCCATAATCCACTATAAATTTGAAGAAACAGGTGTAATGTCTAACAGAATGCAAGCATTAGAAAACAATCTTCCCAAACTAGATGGAAGAAAATCAAATATGCAAAGTTTACACCTAAATCAAAGTATCCACTCTAAAAGTGAAACAACCATTAGAACGTATACTGTGCATCACACAGTTCTGATGACTAAAGTTTCAAAAAATGAAGGCTTAAAGGTGACAAGGAAGTTTTCTTAGTAAAATCCGACCCTTGAGAATTTCCCAGTTAAGAAAGAAAATACAATGAAAGAGAAAAGTGGAAAAACAAGTATTAAATAGTCTGTAAACAATAAATTTATTGTACATTATTTGACATGACTAAAGAGAAGCCTGCAAGGTATATAAAAAAAACAGGAAGGCGAACATAAAACTAGGAACAGAATAAATTATTTTTAGAAATATGGAATGCAGAAATGCAATATAAATACATTAAACAAATTAGTTGACTAAAAACAAAAGCATCATTAAAGATCAAAGAAAATTAGGAATACAGGTGTACAATAGACCTACAAGATGAAAGGTAAAGCCTGATTAATGTACAGTGTTAAAGTTTACCCAGACACAAGAAGAAGAGAGAGTGGTAGAAGCTAAGTTTAGTGTGACAGTGAAAATGTTTGTGAAAGCTATTACAGTACAGAAGTAAGTTAATGTAAATTAAGTTTTAAAATGGATATCAAACTGTCAATTGTAAAAGAGGAATCCTAGAAAACTTGACAAAATATCTGTTACTCACAGAAACATTAGAAGTGTAAAATAGAAGATGCCAAAGTAAATAATTTATTAAGTAATTTGAAATTATAAAAAAATATTGAAATGCTTCCCTCAAAATTTGATCTGTCTGCTAACTAGCTCAGATATTCAAGGAGATAATACAGAAAAGTTACACATTAACATCCATATAAAAATTTATTTTGTGATCATTTTTACTTCATTATTTAATTTCAATATCCTGAGTAATAAGATCAGAAAAAAAACAAAATAACTACATAACGGAAAAACACTGTCATGAAAAGTGAGTTTCAGCAACACTAATTGTGGGTATCTCTATGATGAGACATACTTAAACGTAATACCATCATACATCATAAAAATTATGCGAGTTTTAAACAAAAATAAACTTATCTATACCACATAGTTAATGCAGCAAAATAATTCATTTAATTAATCAACTTGAAGGCAAAGGTGTAAATAATCATGAAGATCTGAACAATCTAGCAACCAGACTTCAATTTTATAACAGAAAACATCTTAAGGATATCTACACAATTTGAATCTTACTAAACATTTTACTGAAATTAAAACTATTGATTTGCACATTTTTAAATACCAAAACAAAAAGTCATTAAAAGAGACATTCTGGTCACAGTAGAACCTTCAATATGCCATGTTTATATACAACCAAGACTACCTTTTACACAAAAGAACAAAAACTAATTAATTAAATTCACAAAGGAAATATAATCTTAACTTTGAAAAAATAACATTTAACCTTGATTTGGTTCAGATGTGTGGTCATAGTTTTAAGCCTACTTGATTCTATGTGCAAGTCAAATTTTGTGAGGCATATAACTTTTGTCTAAGTTGTGAGTATCTTCTTACTTTAAGCTCAATTAGCTCCATGCTTTGTTATTCTAATCATTACTCGGTTTTAGGATGTTTACTGTGTTTTACAATTAAGCAATTTATACTAAATCTATGTTGTTATCTTCAGCAGCCTGAAGATCATGAATTTCTTCTTCATGTACATAGAATGTGTTCTAATTCCATAAAGGCAAGAATCTTTTCTACTTGCATTTCATCCCTTATGTCTGTACATGTGTATTCTAACACTGAGTAAATTAAAATTATATGGCCTTACAGTTATAAATATTCTTAGTCTGCAAATCCAGAATAGACTAAAATTATATTGTTTTTACATTTGTTTCTTCTTTCAAAAACGTTCTCGTGGTTTTAAATTTGAAAATGTTTTCTAATTTTTGGGTTTTGTCATTCTTAACATTCTAAGACTTTGTATTAACTTAAATAAAATCTTCATGGGTAGAAGTCATTTTTATAACTGTAGCATAAGTACTGGTATTTAACACTGATAACTCTGGCACATTTTAAGTGGTTATGCCCATAACAGCACTTCAAGGGTAATGCATGCGACATTTGCTGATACATACCAGTATAGCTACTCTTGCTGGTTCTGAAGAAATCTGCTGTTTCAATTGAGCATGGCATACACAAATAGAAGCATGAGATGTTGCACAGAGCATTAACTTAAAATTAGGGTTAGGATTCACAGTAAATTTGTCTAAAAATGAATGAATATCTTAATATGAGAACAAAAACAAAATCTTCAAAGATCAAAATTAACAACCACTTCCATAAGATCAAGCAATCATGCCCATCTCTGGTATACGATGTATTTAATTAATGATTTACCCTTTTAAACTGCATAGGTTTTAATTATGTCAGTAACATTTTTACAAGGTAGTTTATTTGTTCTTCACAACATATTATCAACTTTTAGTTACAAAAATCATGGTAATGACAAATCTACTTCTTGTTTTGCTCTAAGTTCAACCTTCTTTCTGGAATATCCTTCTTATTTAGAATCTCACATGTAGTACATACACACACAAAAAAAAAACATCATCAATAACTGGAAAAAACATTTTTCAGTGTATAAAAATTCAGTAACAGATATGGTGTATATATATTTTATTTTACTACTAGCTACCTTGCAAGAGTTTATAAGCAAAAAATTTAAATTAGTTCCTCTACACTCTTCACAGAACATGTATTCATAAAGCTTTTTTTTTACAGGACTTTCTTTTGAAAGTAAATATAAAAAAAATGGAAACAGCTGCCAGAGTTTTACTACTCTTAAGTCTGAGAATGTGCTAATTTTAAAGATATTGAGATTTTTTATATTCTATAATACATTGTGTTTATTTAATTCTGGAGATGAAAAATCACTTTTTTTTATCAATGTGTAGGTGTTGGTAATTTATGAGTTACATAAAGTTTTATATTGTGAGGATATTCAAGTAGAAGTCCAAAGTTCAATAGAGGGAGCACATATACCAGCAAGGTTAAAATGTGGAACATGTCTTTTTTAGCAAGGGAACACATATATTCTATGCTCATCCTACTGTTTATAAATTTATTTTTGTTTCAAGTAAGAAATAGCTAAATGGTAACAGTATGACTGTATATTTACGAAAAACAAAACAAAAAACCAGTAGTACTGTAAAAAGATACTTCTTCAAATATCAACCAGTATTTTCCTAGTTTTCATGACTGTATGCTGTCCATATGGCTGAAAGTGTATAACTGTACATTCAAAGATAATGCTATTGTTTAAATAAACTTAGAAATGATGATCTCTCATGATATTCACTACAACAGGAAAAAATACATTTATACATGTGTATTTATAGTAGCTGTACACTAGATAAGCATGCTTTTTCAAATTTAAAAAATCAGACTTTTGTATTCTTTGGTAAAGTCAGAAGAGGAATGGATGGATCAACAATTAAGTACCACCTTCAAGTCACGATCAAAAAGCTATGTAGGAAAGAAAACTTCACTGTTTTTTTAAATATATGAAGAAAAATATATATACTTTGGGACTTTTCCATCTACTTTAATAGCTGAAAATGTTCAAGCCCTTCTACTAGTTTTTTTTTTTCATCTGTTACACACCTTTCTTTTGTTAAGTTTTGAAGTTATTTCTCTTATCACCGTTTACGCTGTATAGTAATATTTCTTTCCTTTGTACATTTTTAAACATCTTACAACAGTCATTATGTGCACAACTTTGGTTGTGTTTTGCAAATAAACAAAAACTAAAAGGGATAAATACAAGGCTTGAAAAAGTATTGTTTCATTTTAATTATTAGTACAATTGTTATGAAATTTGCCTTACAGTTTCATGCATTCTTTAGGGGTCAATGATCTATACACATGTAAGCTTAATGTGTTTTAGAACAGAGATGTTGAAAACATTCCTAATTGTTCAATCACTCCAGTAAGTCAGTGATGTGTCTTTACAAACTTATTAAAAAAAAGTAAAATAGGTCTTTACCTCTTTCATACTTATGACATCTGTATCATAAGATGTAGAAATCATTCTCTCAAGAATACATCCATAATGCTAATAATCAGTTAATATTTTTGTTTACTTTTGTTGGAATCAATCTTACAACATCAACAATAAATAAAATAAAGTACTAGTTAGAGTATTTGAAACTTGAATCCTTCACTGCTATGCCTGTGCCAATGTTTAAACTTCAACAAAATTTTAAATTCCCAAGAATAAATAAATGAACACTGGAAAATGCACAAATGTATCACATCACTAAGCAGATCAAGAAATTTGAAAGCATAAAACCTAAAACATGAAATTGCTGTAACAAAATCAATATAGTTGTTCTTTGTTCAATTCAAAATTTTTCTTGTCATGTTACGTTCAAAGGTATATACTGTAATACGTAACCTAAGTAGAAGGTTTTAGTTACACTTTGTGAGTTCTGCTATATTTGTGGAGAAAATGCTGGTCATATCTCTCTTTAGTCTACTTCTGAATTGTGGTGCCATCATTTGTATTCCACTTTACTCCACTGAAGTCTTTTCACAAATCTTCAATAATGATGTTCCAACTGTATAAAATATATATGGAGTTCAAAGTGGAAGTGGAAACACACTGTAGTATTGACATGAGATTTGTTGATACCAAGTCAAATTTTTCATGTTTCAGCAAACATCAGTATGTAGTCATGATATTAGTAAAACAAAGATGCACAGATCAAGTTGGACCACGAAGGCAGATTAGGATGTACTTCAGGTACGACCTGGAGTGATATGGATGGCTGTAGCACTTGTAGATCTGAAATGAAAAATATGTTAATATACAGATAAGGTACTTCCATTAAGGCTGTTCTGAATGGTTATGAGTCATTGTCATGGTTAGTAGAGTACATGATCACCTAATAAGTCTACTTATTAGCAACTACTTTTTCTCCTTTCTTTATCACTAGATGCAAATTACTAGTTATTAAATCTAGTTATTAAAACAATAACGATTAATAATCAAACTTAGATGATTGTATAGGTTAATAACCATGGCAAAGATATAGGTGAGATGATAAAAGATACATTAAAATCCCCATGTTATCTTGTAATAAAAAATTAACAATAATTAGTACTGAAACTACTATTAATTTCACCTAAATAATTAAAGATTGATAACTGAAGCAACTGCTTTCGTTTCTATGTCTGCTAAGAAATTTAAAGGTAATTTAATTCCTTCTACTATTGATACTTATGATACAGTAATAACACACACTGGGTTGACAATCATGTCCTTATCTTTTCTCTTAATTATAATTTCAGGAAATAAGCTCTTTAACTTGTGAAGAATATAAAGCCCTTGTTGATCACAGTGAAAAAAAAAAGACTTAATTATGACAGAACACAATGAGTAAAGTTAAGTATTAATTACGATAGTTAATCACTTTATTATAAAGTGTCCTATCATTGGGCAGATTTTTTAAAAATTATTTAGTAATTAAATAATTAAAAGTCCAATCCATATAGCAATAACAAATTAGTTTAATTTTTCTTTATTTTCTAAAATGTTTCTACAATCACGTTCACTTGTAAGTTGTAGACCTAACTGCATGAACAATATTTCAACACTGACTTCATATCATCAGTTGTGTGAAAAATTTTGGAAATTCTGTTAAAAGATGCTTTGCAAAGTCATTTAACAAAGTTTAGAATTTTATTGGATAGTCAACATGGTTTCACTAAGAGAAAATCTTGCGTTACAAATCTTTGAAGATTTTTCAAAAAGGTTACTGCTTATGTAGATGAGGGTAAGGGTATAGATTTGGTGCATCTGGATTT